ATAGAACAGATCGAGTGGAAATACACCTCATAACATCCGCACTAGCGAACGCCTCCCCCAGCTTCACGCCCTCCAGCTGCCCCATGAACACCGCCTCCACCTTCCTCCCCTCACAAGCCTCTGCAACTCGCCGCGAAACGGGGCGTCGCCGACAAACACCAGGCGCGCCTGTGTACGCACAGGCGGGGGGAGGAACGCAAAGGCCTCGACGTGCAGAGGACCACTACTGCGCCGAGGGGCGCGGCCCAGGGGTCGCGGAGTCTCTCTCTCCGGAGGGCGGGCGAGAACACCCCCGCATCCACCCCCCGCGAGCACACAAATTGTCAAACCCCCTTTCCCGCAGCAGCCCTGCGGTGCTCGCGCTCGGCACGAGCGTCTGCCGCGCGAAGGAGTGGAGGTACGCGTGGACGGCCCACGTGCGGTGCGCGAAGTACGGGTAGCCGAAGCCGGCGGCGTACGTCGGGAGGTTCGTGTGGTGGGACGTCACGAGCGGGGTGTGGGGGAAGAGGAGGGCGAAGGAGGAGAGGGCCCGGACGCCGAGCCAGATGGGGCCGATGAGGTGGATGACGTCCGGGGAGAACAGGCGGAGGGCGCGGAGGAAGGAGGGGGAGATGAAGCTAGCGTGCCGGGGGTAACCGGGGCAAAGGAGGGGAGGGAAGAAGGGTACTTGATCTTGAGGCCGGGGTGGACGCGCAGTGGGATGCCAAAGGTGTCGAAGAGGCGCGGGCCAGCGTATCCCGTCTATCCACGCATATAATCGTGAACACGATAGATGAATTACTAAATGCGAGTAGGAGGAGCCCCGTGCCGCTTTCAGGCCCGAAGAGCATGGCCGCGACGCCGTGCTGCGCAAGCGCGAGCGTCGATCCGTCGATGTTGGGCAGGAAGTTTGATTCCAGCAAGGGTGCAGAAACGGTGTGGAGTGGCACCCCCGCAGCTGGCCAGATGTCGGTCGAAGAAGATCGCACAATTGAGGGCTTCATCAGAACGGAAACAAGGAAACACGGGGTAGCGCGCAGGCGGGCACAGACGTTGACGCAGGCGAGATGCGGTCAGTGGGATAAGTGAAGGCGGCTTTATCGAGCCGTGTGAGTCAGGAGAGAGACAATCACGTTGATTGATATATAGCGTGTGGGGGGGGGAAGAGCCGAAGGCTCTCCACTCGCACCGCCTGCGGCGGGCTGCTGGGAGGCGACTGAGGTCGCGCTCCGCGCCGCCGCGAGGGGAAATGGATGCGAGCGCGAGAGGCCGGCTCTGAGCACAAGAAGAGGTCTCCCGGGGGAGACGGATGGGCGCGCCGAAGGCACATCGCCAACTCTACCGAACACTGGGAAGTGTATGAATGTAATGAAAAGAAAAGAGAAGGGAATGCGGTGGGTGGGTGAAAGAAATCGTGAATCGCGTCGTGGTACGCGACAGAGCGAGAAAATAGTGACCGTCACGGTCACGTCCCACTTTCCCCGATCCGCCACTTCTTTACTTATCCTCTGATAATCCTAAGCCGTTCGTACCTCACGTCAGGATTATCTCGGAAAGAGGAGACACGGATCAACCCGGCGTCTGTCATCGACACGTGATTCCGGCGGTTGCCGACCGTGTACAAATGCAACATGCGCCGACCCGCTCTGGAACGCGCCTCAGCGTCGCAGCGTCGGGTATCTCACACTGAGCTCCATGTAGTTCCAGTAGCATTTAAAGACGGTTGATGTCTCGTGGTTCTCAATCTCAGGCGCTGAAGGCAGTCACTCTGCGATAGAGGCTAGAGGCTTGTTCTTGGCATGGTTCGACAGAGATGTGAACAGAGCGATGTTGGATAGAGCCAGAGCGCACCGGTGGTGTATGGTACACACACCAACATCTATTCATTGCAGGTGTGATTGATCGTGGTGAGACGGGGTTCGATTCCACGCCGGTGCATATGCTGCCAAAGAGTTTTTTCCCGGAAGCTCACATTGATGGTGATAAGAAGGGTTCGATTCCCCCGGGGCATAGGGCTGCAGCAATATGGCGCATTCTTAAAAAGTCTTTCGAGCCACGTCAGTCAAATTGAACAACGCACTGGACCAGGTTGAAGATAGAGATAGAGAGCACCGGTGGTGTATGGAACACAAGCCAGTTTTGTAACAGGAAACACTGGTGGTACAGCGGTGAGCCGACGCGAGTTGTGAAGGACGCGACGACGCGACGCAATGCGTTGAGGCGTCAGCGCGGCCGGAGGTGGTATTGACGGTGGGTCTTGGGGCACGCATCTGGAGTGAAGAAATAGGGACAAAAAAAGGTATTCACCACCGCGCTTTGCAACGTCCTGGCTGGGAAGCCTGACAGAAGACTCCAGCCAGGCAACAATTGCAAGCGAGGCTGGTGAGCGGAGGGGACAAGGTGGTGGTTTAAGACCGACCTCGCCAAAGTGAGTACAAACATGTAGCCCCTGCTTTATACAAACACGTCGCGTTGATGATCATGTGACCGAGTCGCGCCCACGGTTGCAAAATTTCCGCAATGCGGCCATCTGCCTGAATAATTCTCCGTTGGATGTAAGGCCCGGGGAAAGGGCAAGCGGTGTCTGCGCGTTGATGCTGAATGTGTGTTTGAATGCAAAAAAGTCTCCAAAAACAAAAAGCGACAGCGGTCTCGAACCCGCGACCTCACAGAAACACCGGTGGAATGCCGCGTAACCAGCTGAGCCAGGGCGGCGATGAGAGAATGGGGAACGCGGTCATTCAATGATGAGCTGGTCGGTCACGTGCCGGTCTCGCCTAGGGCTCAACCGCCGCGGATCGCGGCAACGGGCATCGCTCCGCTCGCTCGCGCATGGCTTCGCCATGCTCGCCCCCGGCTCGCAGGGCTCGCAGCCCTTGATCGCCGCCTGAGCCGGGGTTCGATTCCCCGCCGGTGCATGTAGTGCTGGCAAGGTTCGGTTCGGTTCAGGTTCAGGGCCCTTTTCCCTGAACGCCGAACCTGAACCTGGCGTTCGGTTCGGGTAAATGCCGAACGCTGAACCTGAACGTGGCGTTCAGGTTCAGCGCGTTCAGTTCGGCGTTCAATGGCGTTCGAACGCAGAACCGAACGCCATTTTTTGACAAGCATGGTTTAGCGTAAAATAATCAACGCGACAAGTGTGTTGTACTAATAATTATTCGTCTGCCTCAGAATCCTCGGCTTCAGTATCATATCCAAAGTCAGCATCCAGCTCGGTGAGAAGGGCATCGATGTGCTTCGCCGCAATCGTCCCAGCGCTGATATGTCCATTCCGATAAGCACTTTTCAACAATTGGAGCACTTCCAAGATTTCGGCGTTGAGGGAATTACGGAGCTTCGTACCAGTGAGACTTCCGCTGGAAAATGCACGCTCGGCGGGAGTTGCTGAGCCTTGGATGGCCAGATAGTCGCGAGCCATCCGGCGCAGCGTGAGATGTGAGGTATTATGCTTGGAAGAAGTCAGAGCAAATCCTTGAGACAAAATTTCGGTCACTCACGCCCCACCAGTGCAGCACATTGCCCGTCGTTTCCAAAGGGGATGCCAGGTATCCTTTCAGCTTGTCTCGAGGCTGAGCTCGAGCCTGCTCTTCTTGCTGAACCGAATTTACAGCATCCATCAAAAACGAACTGCCGAAGCGATGTAATGAAGGAGGCTCACCAGAGCTGGGTGCGGCAGCCGAGTTTTCAACATTTTTGCCTGCCTCTCGTGCAGCATAGTACTTGTCGAACTTAAGATAGTGAGGAACGCGTTCGTAATAGGGAACATGAGACTTACAACATCCTCCAGAGCCTTCATACCCTTGATAGTTGGATTTAAAACTAGACCAATGTAAATGAAGAATATCAAGTGGATTTAATGCCACTCACTGAGGCAAATAAAGTATGTGCTAGATGTGGTGTCGGCACGATGAAACCATTTTCTCAAGCTTTTTACACCCTCTAGGAGGGCGTCCCTGACTTCAGCAAACTTGGGGTGAGTGGACATTCGTATTCGGACCTTTCCACCATCATATTCTCGGCCGAAAAGACCATATTCTCGACCAAAAAACACGTGTGCGTTCGGCGTCCGGACGCGTTCGGACGCGTTCAGAAAAATTCTCTGGGACGCGAACGCCGAACCTGAACCTGGCGTTCGGTTCAGCTATTTGTCGAACCTTGAACCTGAACGCCGCGTTCAGTTCGGTCCGGTTCCGGTTCGAACCGATTTCTGAACCGAACCTTGCCACCACTAGGTGCATGTGGCGTATTTTGCCGGTCGTTTTTACATTCTGCCACACCAGCGATCAAGGCAACAGACCTATTCGGTTGGGGGGAGAGATAAGCAGCCCCAGTGGTATATGGAACACGCACACCGCCATCCATATTTGAATGATCCTGCGGGTGCGTACAATTGTCGGCTCGGTTTTGCCTGGGTCGTCCAAATTGTGGTGGAATGCAAACGTACCTGACGAGGTTGGGAGGAGAGGAGTAAGCACCGGTGGTGTATGGAGCACACACTGAGCACTTGTGGCAATCCTGGATTGTAATGGTGAGACGGGTTCGATTCCCCGCCGGTGCATGGGCGATCACTTGTCCTGTTTTTTTTTATGTCCCCTGTCCCCAATACACCAAAATGGAATGAAACCAAGTCGAAAAATTGCGTCTGGGGGAGAGCCAGGGAGCACCGGTAGTATATGGATCACACACCACCATTCGTTCCAGATTGGACGGCATGTGGGCTGTGGTGAGACGGGGTTCGATTCCCCGCCAGTGCATGGGTCGGGAAACAGTTAGACTTTTTTACAGCCCCACAGACGAAATAAGAAACCTCTAACCAGGTTGAAACGAGAGGTAGGAAGCACCGGTGGTGCATGGAGCACACGCCATCATTCATTGGACGGGTGTGATGAATTCATAGTAGTGAGATGGGGTTCGATTCCCCGGCGGTGCATGGCCTGCATGTCGCTGTTTTTGTCGGCGCAGTGCTGGCTCGACAGAAACGAGATAGGTACACCTGACCAGGTTGAAAAGTGAGGCAGGAAGCACCGGTGGTGTATGGAACACGCACCGTCATTCATCATTAGGGATCGAGTGAATTGATCGTGGTAACACGGGGTTCGATTCCCCGCCGGTGCATGGAGGAACTGTGGCATCTCTTTTGCAACTCACACAACAATGAAATAAGGACCCACATAGCCAGTTTGAAAAGAGAGCCGGGGAGCACCGGTGGTGTATGGAACACGCGCTGACCTGATGAGCCATGACCATTACGACTTATACGCGGCGAGACGGGGTTCGATTCCCCGCCGGTGCATGTATGGCGCGTGAACTGGAATTATTTTCCTCGCGTCGCCGCAAGGCGGGGCCAGAGGGATCCGCCTGATGAGGATGACATGGGAGGCAGGAGGCACCGGTGGTGCATGGCACATACACCGACTAGTTGTGAGAGGAACTGGTTATACAGCGGTGAGCCGGGTTTCGATTCCCCGCTGGGGCATGGACAAATAGTAGCTGCCTTTTTTCATTTCTCATACACCAAAGGGAGGGCAACGCCCGTTTTACACAGTATATCGCCCATATCTGGCGCACGGCTTATGTATAAGACGGCGAAGACGATATTTTGGATTGGGGCTGCCGGCCGTGTTTGGACTTCCTGAATGGGATGCGCTGGAGGAGATGAGGAACCAAGTCATCGGAGAATAGGTCCCCCTTCGCCGTATCTTTGCTGCTTCGCTCGTGTTTTCCAGATGGGCGAACTTTGTCATCATGTCTGCAAGCAATAAAATGCGCGCGCTTGGATTGTACAATAACGGAACATCGATCCCAACGATCATTCTTAACACGCGCGCATTTCTGCCGTTGTCGTTGTTCGCAGTCCGCAACATTCATGGCCGCACGATTATTAACCGGGAAGTAGTCTCTCCGATTTCTGGATGTCTCGTTATTTTCTCAAGTTCGAGTTGATCTGTGAAGTTCCGTCTGACTGTGAGCTACGTTCAACGCCGCGGTAAATTCCCCAGTCCGAGAAACGAGATCAGAACCGTTTAGATGAGTTCGCACATATATATATATTAAGCATGAATTAAGTTTCTGGCCACGGAATCATAGTATGGAGAGATAAACTACTGCCCTTCGTGCAATCCACACCCACGGGTTAGCCGATTCAAAGCTTCCGCGCCATATAGAACTCCTGACCATACATGTGCAGCCGTCTGCGATCCGTCTTATTCGACTTGGTGCATGGAATGCGGTCGACGAGGAAGAACAACGAGGGAATCATATGATGCGGCAGTTGGGCCTCGACCACCGTGTTCATGACTCGCACGAGCGGATACGCCGAGTGATCCTCGTCAATAATCTGGATGTCGATGGTCCAGTGCTAGACGTCCCAGTGGTGGACGCAGTCATCCACCGTACCTGGCATAGGTGATAGAATCGAGAATGACGAGGGAGGGACCACTCGATCCATTTTGGATCACAAGAGTGTGATTTTGCAAGGGTAAGGGCTGCGATGTGAACACAGTGACATGGGACAAGAATCCCCCAGTTCCTGTTGGTGAACGATAGCATCCGTCCGCCCATACCCCGTCGATGAAAAAATTCATATGAGCTATTATCGGCGACTGGCTACCGGGCCACCTTACGGTTATTCATGTTCCATGCGCCGTGAAGTCAAGGAAAGTGGATGTTTATGGAGCCTGCAGTGTGGTTTGGCATCGTACGAATCGATTGCGGTCGGGGGCCCTCAATTCAGTGAGGTTTTGATCGCTCGGCGAATATTTTGCGCCGGCATGTCCGAAAACGGCGAAAACGGCTTAGTGGGCCGAGTGCCGGAACTTGTCTATTCAACCACAATTCACATCGCCCTGCGTTCCTCGAGCAACGGCAAGTACGAAGGAGTTATTCAACACATAAAGTGGGTCTCTAGGACGTACATAAGTAGTCCTTACTACCCTCTAGCCTGCTCTTAGTCAAAAATCTCGTCTTGCGTCCGGATAGCCGAAACCAGGTGGTCACACAGGCTACATGTTGCCGGAAGGCGGCCAATATACCACAGAATGTCATTTGAAGAAGGTGGGAGCCATATTGAATAAAAAATGAACAGGATGGGATGGATTAGTGGATACGGATTGTGATCGTCGGTATGTCAAAATCCACCCGTCGGAAAGCGCGCCGCCGCGCAGCACCAAAATGAGGTGCAGATCTAAGATCAGCTGGTATGATTGTCATAGGAGTTATTTGAACGTACATGAACCATCACTTACTCGGCCAGGGCCGTCCATCTCAAAAAAAAACTCGAAGTGTCAGGCTTGTGTAAACCGGCGTTTGGACACCGAACGCCACAGCGACGGAGGAACAGGGCGTGGAAACAGCTATCCTCTCGATTAATGGACTAAGAGAACGGTTGAGATGGCACAAACCGAATGTCGGAATGGTAGCGCCACTGTAGTGTCCAATAATCCATTGACGAGGGTGCTGCCTTGGGGAACAAGTGAATTCAAAGCTCGGGTGGATTAGTGACAGGGAGAAGTCGGGCGGGAACCCAGAGGTTTCCAAGATGTAGCCGGACATCCTACGAACAGATTGGGCACCGGAAGTCGTCGAGAGATGAAGAGGTCGTCGAGATACAAACAAGCGATGCCGTGCGGACATAAGGAAACACGTGTTCGGCATCCCGTACCGATCAAAAAGCGGGCACAGCTTGTGATCAATTCCATCAAATGGGCTCAATTTTTGTTTCCGAGGGCGTCCCTACATCCCTTCTGACTTGCAGGTAAGACATTGTAAGAAACTTATACTCATGGCCTTGGAGGTTCGAAGCGGCCCAATAACTAGTGCGGCCCACTAAGCAGTCGCTGATAATAAATAGATTTATCCTGCATATGGGTTATAAAGGGAAAGGTATACATAGAATAAAGTAACAAAGGGAAGTCCATGTGTGTCGTGACGACCTTGTGTCGGCGCGACAAGGTTTCCAACCAAAAGTGATGCGACATCAGTCGGAGTTTGACGGCGAACAACTCCATCCGTTACAGAAAACTTCCGGTTGTCGGGACTATCAAGGCTACCAAATCAATCTAAAGGATCCGGTACAGGACGCAACATGCATGTATATGTTGCTTGACGTCCCCACGAACTACCTCTCTGTGACAACACTTCGCATGCGTGGAAGCTTAATCAAAGATTGTTGCTAGGCGGTCGCAAGCCATGACCGTGCTTTTGCCTGTGATTGGGCATCAGGGTTAAGAACAAAACTTTACCAAGTTACAGCGAATTTAATTTAACTTCAGACGTCATATGTGCGTATTTCCCGGTGAATGTGGGCTCGCACCACATTTATCTCGCCAAATCCGCTGCTGTCATGACCTCAATCCCCCTGGCCCGTCGTCACCCACGTCGTTGCATACTTAGCATTGAGATGACAGTTCTAATGTTTACCTGCTAAAGCCTGAGCAGGCTCTCACGTTTGCCTCCGGATGCCCAATCTGGCCAAAATTGCATGCAAAATCATCTGGTTGTATTAATATTTCGTTGATTCTACCCTCGTCTACTTATGGTCGGACCGCGGTATTTGACAGCTGTATTTTCAGCCGTCTCGAGGTCGAATTGTTTCCTATCGCCCCTGTTTCTTTCAACCGAGATGGTCTTCAGGACAGTATATATACACGAAACCCTCATACAGGTATAGTTGGCAGTTCCCACAAATAGGCCAGAACGGGCGAATCTCAATCACTTCCTAACAGCCTTAAAAGAGTGCCGCGCTTTCTTCTTCCACAACCAGCGAAGTTCAAACACACCAAACCTACATCCAATGCTCGCCTTCCTCTCTCTCGCCCTCACATTGCTCTTGGTCAACATTGTGCACAGTGCCCCGAGCGCCATTCGCAGCGATCAATGCATGGGTATGTTGTTTAGTCATTCACATCTTTCCATAATTGATAACCCAACACATCTCCCTCTTCTGTAGGCTGTGCCGGGGGCGCCCTCGACCGGGACTTGGATGCTCGTGCGGTGGTCATATCCGAGAGGCATGAAGGTAGTTTGCAACTTGCAGTTTCCTGTGACGGAGTGAGATATTGACGCCAAGGCACACCGCACAGATATTCATCGTGCTTTCAAGAGCGATATTGATCAAGACCCACCAGAACTATAGTCTGTAGTTTACCACGCCACCGGACGCTGTACTCTGTTGTTTGACCTATTAGACATCTCAACAAGATCCAGACTGAGCGTGACGGGGGGCCAAAAATTCGACATCCACCTGAAGTAACACAGCATTTGTCATGGATACTGTACTAGTCGATACCAAGAATATTTGGACTCACTTTACATTAACTTCCAGGTTTTTTACTTTGAATTTATCCTGGTCTTCATGTCGGTGACAAACGTACCCCCTGTTGAACTGTGCATTTGCGAACAAGGTCTGAAGCCAGAGGTCAGGTGTTGTTTGAGGTTCAGGCTGGCGTTTAGAAATGGAGTCGATGCCCTCGGTCGGCCAGCAGCTTCCCTACGGGTGGATGCCTTCAAACAAGACTTCATCAGCGATACAAGATGTGGATTGGTTCGCACCAGATCTACTCATCCCGGGCGGACCTAAGTCGATTTCTACGACGATGGAACTGTAATAGTAGCGTGAACACAAGGAAGGCAGACTCCAGGACGTATAGCTTACCTCAAATAGATGAGCTCGACGACGTCGTTGTCATCAAGACTAAGCGCATCGCGGTCCCCAATATTGCCCTGTACACGCCACTGTACAATCGCGTTGTCGACGGGAGGCCGCGGCGCAGTCGTCCAGTGCGTGAAATTCGTGAGCGTCCCGCGCTGCTGCCGATCAATTTGACAGTCCCGGAAATAGTACCCTCCAATATCGAGGACGGAGTGGTCAATATCGGGCTCGAGCCGCACGCTGTAGATGTTTGGCGTTCCCTCTGCGCAGGAGGCAGCGTCATGGGCACATCAAACACTCTTGCTGCGCTGCCGGCGAGGAGTTTGTCGCGGTCCGCAAAGTACCGCACAGTGATGTGGTTGTTAGGGTCCTGCTCCAATGCGACTACGTACCCGCCATTCCCAACGTGCGCGATCGTCGGCTGACTGCTTACCGCACCCAATTCGGCGGAAAAGCGGAAGGTTTG